AGGTTGAAAAAAAACATTTCTAGGTGTTTCAAGATGTTAGTAAATAGGGAAAAAAATAAATTTTACAAAGAACCTCTGAAGTATTCTTATATATTTTCCCCTTCATATTTTTTACAGTATCAAAAAAGGTGGAGATACCTGTTTAAAATATTTATTTGCATAATTCACTGTTCTATCTATGACCTCATCTAGGATTTCTGTAAGAATCTAACATTTTATGAGACGCCAATTTATACCTTAATGTTTATAAAATATCCAGCTGCACTTAGGATTGCAACCACAGTGTATAGCCTCAGTGCACCTGTAAACATGACGTCCCAAGGGCTTATTTTAGAGCCTAAGGGAGCAAAGGTGGGTCAGCATTTGCTGTCCTGATTATGACAGTACCAACAAAGAGCAATGAGAAGTATAGAAACCACACTGAGACAGGATTCAATTGTCTAAAGAAGGTACAGTGTGAAGCTACATGTTTTATGTAGAGTATCATTAACAGTAAACTGAGTTTATTAAACAGATCATCTATTATCAAACATGTACAGGCACCAGTTACTGTGAATTACTTAAGAAATGCATGCCCTTCCTGGAAGAGGCTATAAGGTGAACAGCCGATAGCCTAGGATCCAGCAAGTTTCATCCGCTACGCCACAACCAAGAATGCAGACTTGGCAGTACTTATGGGACTGGTCATCAGGTAAGCTTAGGGATTACTTCTACATCATTTTCTTTATAACATTGTATATATATATATGACTTTTTTCATGTATGGGGGTAATGCATAGTAAGTGAAACATGACTGTATAAGAACAGAGGCTCAAAATTAAATACACTACTATCCATGTGTGAGTCAGGGTTATCATACTCAGAGTTATCTGAGGTCCCCAGAGCAGTAAACATGTGGCAGGATGGAGAATTCCTGAAACACAAGTGGTGTTTTCTAGCTGTACAGTGACATTCTGGTCTATTTTCACATACAGTCTGCGGGAATTCCACAGTTATCACCTGCCAGCAGGCTAAGGAGCAGAGCTTGAGGTTGCAGAAGTCAGGATTTTATTGAGTTACTCTAAATAAAAATTTGAATTCAAATATTAAAATTCAGAGCCATCATTTTTTTAAACCAGTTGATTAAGAAATGTATATCTAATAACTAACTGCAGATAAGACTGGCTAATCAAGTATGAGTCTAACTAACTGAGCAGGCAGAAATAGAAAGTCAAATGTTATGCAAGCTCTGGTCTGTCCCTTGAAAATGGACGTTCAGAAAGTTTAAGTCTATCTACTTTATATCATAGGCTATACATGTGCCTTCAATTAGATATTTAGGCCTTGTCCAATCAGGTGTGATCAGGATAGCAGAATCTAAGGACTACATCCTTCTCACATGGTCTGGAAGCATTTTAGTTCTTAAAAATATATTAAAGTTGTTTTGGTAAAAGCTTATAATACGTTAATACAGAAACATTTAAAACAGGTATTTACTGTATGCTACCACCATATCAGTGGGAAATCTATTGATTAGCAAGCAGATAGCAAAATCAAACAAAATCAAATCCAAAAATGAATAGAATAATGAAGAAATTCAATGTATGCATAGAGAAAGAAAGTAGGGTTAGGGCTAGTTGATCCAGTGGCTTCCTCCTGCAGTCAGTTATCTAGGTTCTTGGGCTCTGTTTGGTTCTCCAACTTTTCCTCAAAGCCCTCAAAACCACTGGCACTTCCGTCTTATTCATCAAAACGATCACTTGTCCTTGTATGAACAAAGAATGGCAACAAGAAAAGCTCAAAATAATAGTCATTCCTGAACCTGAGAGAAAGAATTAGTTGGTAGAAAAACAGATTCATTTCCCCAAATTAGAGTGGAGTGGTTGAATCTAGTTGATAACCAACTAGATGTCCAGTGTTCACTTTAGATATTCATGTAAAATAGCTTTTAAAATGCTGAAAATAAAAATAATAATTTTCTCCATAGATTGCCATTAAATGATATTCTTTTCCAACAGTCCAATTTGCTGTGTTTTCCATTCTGTTTTTAACATTGAATATACATCACAATGATAAATATGGGGGAAAAAATGCACAATGATAGAAGAAACAATAAACAAAATACTCACTAATCTATATACTTCTAACCATGCTGAAACACTTTGTGTCAAAATTACACAAATTTTGCTCAGAGTAAACAAATATTGTCTTGAATATGGCAACAATTTGTATGGTTTGGAGATTTATCTTTTAAATTCTAGTTACAGTAGCCACTTGTCTAATATAATAAAAAATTTTAT